AGAGAGAGAGAGAGAGAGAGAGAGAGAGAGAGAGAGAGAGAGAGAGAGAGAGAGAGAGAGAGAGAGAGAGAGAGAGAGAGAGAGAGAGAGAGAGAGAGAGAGAGAGAGAGAGAGAGAGAGAGAGAGAGAGAGAGAGAGAGAGAGAGAGAGAGAGAGAGAGAGAGAGAGAGAGAGAGAGAGAGAGAGAGAGAGAGAGAGAGAGAGAGAGAGAGAGAGAGAGAGAGAAGCTGAATTTCTTGACTCTCGTAAGTCCCTACATTGAGAAGCTGAATTTCTCAAACACAATTGGCTTCTTGCCTAACTACCTTGACAAGACCACATGAAGACAAAGCCAAAAAGAACAATGTTTTTTTTGCAAGAACCACCGCCATAGCAAACTTCTCTTGAGTTCAACGTGCCTACAGTAAACCTCTCTTGAGTTCAACGGGACCATCCTTGTTCTATACAAATACGTAACAAAAGCACTTCCAAAAACAGTAAATGTAAAAAACAGCAAGCAAGATTTTTAAGAAAAGTAAATCACACATATGCTCGCTTGCACTTGCATATAAAGCTTAGGAAAGAAGAGAAGTAGGGTTATTACGCGCCAAGGAACCCTTACGCGCCAGTTGCTGTAGTTCCTAGAACATGATGTCAAATATGCAGTGCAAGAACTATCGATGGAAACTTTGCAAACTAGAGATCCACCATCTCAACACTAAATGGTGCAATTTAATATAATAATGAAAGCACACAACCATATTAGAATTCCCCGTGAGTGATTAGTGGGTCGTTTATTTGTATAACGAAAAGTGATGCTTGACTCAGACCTTTGTTAGTTTGTTGCATATATTTAGCCACCAACCCTGCACAATATATAATAAAATGAGCAGCCTTTCTGACTTGTATCAATCTATGCTCGTCTTGCTCTTTTTCCACTTTGGCAAGAATACCATACTAAACTACGTGGGAACAAAAATAGCACAAACATTTTTCTTGATTTCCCCCACACCTAATTTATCATATATTAATCCCCTCTTCTATATGCGCAATAGCACAAAGTTTCAGCGCACTCAAACACAACATACAGCCATACACAAACACTTGGCTAATCTTTGCTCACAGCCAGCCTTAACATAAATACGTAAGAGACTCAGAGAAGAGAGAAGAATAGAATGACTAGCGCAGGAGTTGCTGGGATGATGTTTCAGTGTGTGTTTGAAGGAAGCCTGTCAATGCGGGACTCTGAAATTGAGCGAAGGCCTTACCATAAGAACTGCAGTTGCGCTCTCCACAGGTCCGAGGGGGATGTTTGCTCCAATGCTTGTCAAAGGAACATTTCCTTTCCCAAGAAACTGTCATGGAGTGACGGTTCCTTGTGCATGCAGGCAGTGGCTTCTTCCAGATTCTCTTCTCCTCTCGTAGACGACATGTCCACGTCCACAGGAAACAGAGGAAGTGTGAATGGGGTTCATAATTCTGCCTTGCTTTGTGGGGTTAGTTTCTTGATTTCTTCTACCTTCATCCAAGTGTAAATTCTACTGAGTACATATTCCTCCTGTAATTAAACATTATTTTCACCTTTCTTCAATACAACTGAAAATACCAGTTATGTGCTGGGCTTTTAGCCCCCTTTGTTACCCAAAAAAAAAAGGAGTTAAAATAGCAGCCCATAAGTGAAACACAGCGTTTCACTAACCCTATCTTCACCTTTTGTTGGACGAACCCTACCCTCAATTATCTCTCATCTCTCCGCCTCCATCACCTCCCATCTCTCAGCCTTCATTTCTCTGCCTCCATCATCTCCTCTTGCGTGCCCTTGAAATAAGGTGAGCCCAGCCGCAGCTATGAAAAAAAGAAGAAAAATTCAAACATACCTCTGACGAGTAGTGAAGAAGCCATCGCCACCACTGGTTGGATCGAGAAGAGTAGAGAAGCAGCCACCCGACCCACCAGGCGGCCTAGGCGGGCGCCCAAGCGCCGCCTAACTCCCTAGCGCCTACCCCTAACGTTTAGGGTGAACTGCAGCGGTGTTCTTCCGCCTAGCGCCTAGGAGCGCCTAGGCGCCGCCTAGGTCGATTTTTCAGAGTTTCTACTTCTTCTTCTTCTTCTTCTTTTTGCGGTGGGGGGTGAAGAGATAAGAAAACATGTAAAAAGGGCATGAAAGATGAAGAAAAATTAATAAAATAAAAACAAAAAATTATTTTTAATTTTACTCAACAATCATTTTATATTAATTTGTCCCTTAAATGTGATATGAATCATCGGATTTTTGACTGGCATTGGCCTAATGCATGAAAGCACTTGTGATATTAAGAGTAGAACGGAATTGTTTCTGTTCTTAATATGGAGGAGACATAAAGCCAAGGCAGAACTAAGCTGGTGGGTGTTGAGTTTTCTGCATATTTCTAACATAAAGCCAACTCACAACAACTAACAATTGCAAGAGTAGAGACAGAGAGAGAGAGTGGTAACACCTCTTAAATACATCTGATGAACTATGTATGAGCCCTAATCATACCAAGAGTGTTATATTGGAATTTAATGGTTGATTTTTTTTTATTGTTCTTCACTGTGTGGTGGATGTCTTGATTTGGATTTATTTGTTTCAAAATCAAGAGATTTTCTTGAACTTCTCCCTTTAAGAATACTTAATATAAAAAAATGAACAATTGGATTGTGTTTATTAAGCTCTTAATACTGCTTATGGATTGAAAAAAAGTGGTAACACATTGTCCAGAGAGAGAGAGAGAGAGAGTGGTAACACACTCATATATACATCTCATACATTGTGAGTTTCACATTATTTTCGCAGTGTTTTTACATCTTTGATCCCCTTTCCTTTCTCACTTTTTTTTTTCAATCAAAAAAATAAAAATATAAAATTAGTTTCTTTACTTTTGTTTTTTGGCCTACTTCTTTAATTTATTATATGTAATTAAGTCTTTTTGAATTACTTTAATTAGTAATTATATTTTAATTATTATTTAATACAAAAAAAAATTAAAGAAAAAGTTCACAAAATAATTAATTTCTATTTATTAAGTCTTTTGTGAAATTGTTTGGGTGTCTTAATTAAATTTCTCCATAGCCCAAGAGCCCTATCCGTTACTATTAGGCCATCACTCGAGTGTCTATTGTCCCTTTTTGGTTTTTCACTTTTTCACAGTTATTATATGTATAAAGATTTTAACACTTTCACGTTTAATAATGTATTATACACGTATGCAAGTGTTTCTCATGTTTAATACACGTAGTTTTTACAAAACTTTCAATAAGACACACAAAATTCTCGTATTATACACATAATTTTCACATATTATATAGTGGAATGAATAGCGTCTCTGTGAATTTTTAACCAACTCTGCCTCTCAAGTAATATTTGAGGTAAGGAGGTAGAAGAACAAGCCATGAGTTGGTTCCTATGTTCTGGCAAATTGAATGCATTGTTTACCACATCGATATACTTCAGATGAATGAAGGAATGTCGTCTTTATAATAGCTTCAATATTAAATATGTGCGATCCTTTTTTATTGTCATTTTTTTGATGTGGTTGTTAACACCCTTATTGGAATATATACAGTTATTCTCTTATCCGGATATCCGCACGTTATTATAGTGCGGATCCTATTGTAAACAGGCAGGAAAACAGAGAGGGGTAATACAAAATACACGGTGTCCGCATAAGAGAATTTCTGTATATATATATACAGAAATTCTCTTATGCGGACACCGTGTATTTTGTATTACCCCTCTCTGTTTTCCTGCCTGTTTACAATAGGATCCGCACTATAATAACGTGCGGATATCCGGATAAGAGAATAACTGTATATATTCCAATAAGGGTGTTAACAACCACATCAAAAAAATGACAATAAAAAAGGATCGCACATATTTAATATTGAAGCTATTATAAAGACGACATTCCTTCATTCATTCTTTTAAATATTTTTCCCCAATTTTCGTTTATCGATTAGAGTAGTTTAGAGCATTATCCATTACTATTAGGCCATTACCCAAGTCTCTATTGTCCCCTTTTCATTTTTTACTTTTTTCAGAGTTATTACCCGTATAAAGAATTTACCACTTTCATGTTTAATACACGTATTTTTTTTCAAAATTTTCAATAATACACACAAAATTCAAGTATTATACACATAATTTTCACATATTAATATTATATAGTGACCAAACTTTTCAGTTGTAACTTGCCAAATTTTTTAATGATTACTAAACAATTTATTATGCAACTAAGTTTTACTAGTTTGTAGAGTTGAAATAGTACAAAATTAATGAAAAATTATTCAAGATTTCCATGTTTTTATTCAAAATTAGCTATTTTCCTCAATATTTTTGTCCATACTTATCTTAAATAAATTACATTAAATATTAAGTATTAACTTAAATAATTAGAGGACTATTCTAAACAAATAAGGTTTTGCTTGGTACTTAAGTAAGTAAATAATTCAACCATTGTTTTGTATATATTTAAAAAAGTGTGAAATTTTAGTATTTAATTTATTTTCTATATCTTTATTACAATTATTATCACAAAATGATACTTATTTATTAAGTTCTTACATGTTTACATTTACTACTTGTTCCTTTTAATAGTTATTTATTATGATTATTTTTTACAACAGAAACTTGTACCCGACTAAGGCTCAGTTTGGTATTGCTTAACTTAAAAAATAAGCAGCTTTGAAAAGAAGTTTTGGAGATTTGAGTGTTTGGTAAAACCAATTCAACCTGCTTTTTTTATAATCTGCTGTCATTCACAGCCAAAAAGTAGAAGCAGCTCACACCCTGCTTCTAAAACCTGCTGAACCTGCTGTGAGGAGAAGCATGCGGAGGTTTAAATGAAATTTTCAAATTGCCCATATTGCCCTTATTTGTTTCAAACAATTACATGCTATATCCTTGTAATCCCGAGTTCGAACCTCCCAAGTGTCGTTCCTCTTTGATTTTCTGGATTGCTCACCTCATCCTCTCTTTGCAACTTGCTCCCCTTCCTCAATCCGTCAAAGCTACCATCTCAACCCAAAACCTCACCAACCCACCTCCCTATTTTACAGACCCAGAATATCTTCTTTCCCTCCAACTAAAAAAAACCCCAACCTTAGCTCCACAGTTTATCATCTCTACAGCCACATAAAATTCAACACCTCAACTTTAGCTCCACAGTTTATCATCTCTACAGCCACATAAAATTCAACACCCAGATTACCCACCAATTATCTCCTTCAGCAAAAGAAAACCAAACCCCCAACTTCCTTGCCTTCCCCACCAAAACACAAACCCAATATTATAATCCTACTATTCACATCCATAAAGCAAAGAGAGAGAGGTGGGCATGTAGCATCGACGTCCCAAGCGTCATCGCCAAACCCAAATACCAACTTTAAAAAAAAAAACAAGGTCTGGGAAGGATGAAGAAAAGAGAAAGGAGGAGAAGAGGAAGAAAAAAAGGGCCAGAGGTGGGGGGGCCTGGGAAGGGAAGAAGAATAAAGAAAGGAAGTGAAGAGGAAGAAACAAATAAAAATGAGAAAAAGGAAAAAAGAAGGGTGTCAGCTGCTTTTGAGTTTTTTTTAATTTTTTTTTTTATTAGTTAACTTAAATCATACTTTTTTTATTTTTATTTTATTTTAAACTTTTATTACCATTTTTTGTCATTATACACTCTTACAGCACTTCCGTATAAAAGTTTACCAAACACTTTGACACTGTTTTACAGCACTTCCATATAAAAGTTTACCAAACACTTTGACACTGTTTTTCATACTCACAGCACTTTTACAAATACATATTACCAAACACTTAGCTGATTCATTTTACAGCTGTTTATTTTCGCAGCACAATAGAAGCAGTTTTTTTTAAAAGCAAAGCAATACCAAACTAAGCTTAATGGGCTAATTATAAGTACAACACCCAACCATAAACCCCGATTATTGGGCAAACAAAGCACAACAAAAATTTCACCAAAGATTGGCTCCATTTCCTTGAGCCAATTTTACAGATTAAACATGACCTTAATGGCATTGCCTCCACCAGCACTGGTTTCAAATGCTTTTTCCACTTCCTTTTGAGAGAATCCAAAACGATGTGTTATCAGGGGCTTCACATCAACCTTACCACTTCCCAACAATTCGAGGCACAAAGGCCATGTGTTCTTGTATCGGAAAATTCCAATCACATCAACCTCTCTGTATTAAAATCACGAAATCTTAAATAATACGAATAATGCGTGTCACAAGTGAGTCATATGCCTCATGCCTTTATTAGAGACGTGACACCAAATACAATGCAAATAGTTTTACGAACAGAACAAATGAATTAATCAATTTATACCTGGCAGCGGCTGAAGTGAGTGGGAGAGTCAGCTCTCTCTGGCCCATTCCTACAAGGCAAACTTTGCCACCGGAACCAGTAGCACTCAGAGCTGTGGCCATGGTTTTATTAAACCCTGCACAATCGAGGCTTAAATCCACTCGAGTTCCCATAGCTTCTTTTAATTTAGCAACTTCTTCAGCAACCTCCTTCAAAATAATTTACATAAACTCATTAGAAAAAAGGGAGTTTCACTAAAACACCCAAAATGGGGGTTGAAATTATAAAAAAACCCAACACCCAAAACACTTTATAAACACACCCAAAACCCATCATTACACACACACAAGACCCATGACTATTCTAGGTGCTTCGAAGGCACGAGCAGCCAACAATGTAACAAGTCCTATAGGTCCTGCTCCCATGACCAAAACATTTGTTTCTGGACCGACATTAGCCCGACGACAAGCATGAACACCAACACTTAAGGGCTCACACATTGCCCCTTCCTCTAAGCTCACATTGTTTGGTAGTTTAAAACACAGGTCTCCAGGATGGACAACCTGTAAAATAAAATATAAGAAAACATCATGTATCTCAAACACCTGCCTCAAATTTGAATTGCCCACTAAAAAAACTATAGTATCTCAAAGTGAGTGTTGTTATTTGTACTATTTCAACTCACATGACCAGTCCAATTCAATTGGACAATAGTTATAATCGATGTTTGGTAGGCCTAAATACATTTTAGACACAAATCTTGCACAAAAATCCAGAACAGCAGGGAGACTGTAATGAGGGTTATAGTGATGGGGTCTTTAATTATTATACGATCAATTACACTATTATTATTGAAGGGTTATTCGTTTTATTAGTCCCTAAACTTAGACCCGATTTGCATTTGAGTTCTTCAATTTCCAAAATCGTTTCTGTGGTCCTTCAACTTCCGTCAATTTTGTTAACTTTTCTGTTAAATGCAGAGGTAAAATGGTATTTTTATAATTTTATAAATTTAAATTAATTAAAATATGAATAAAATATTTTTATTTTAAAAAAATTCAAGTCTGTAGGAATAAGAACTAATTTTTAATTTTTAGTTTGACTGAGGACAGGAATAAGATTTTTTATTTTTTATTTTTATTTTTTGGGTGGAAGAAATATTCAGAAATTGGAAATTAAAAATAATATAAAAATACAATTTTACCCCTGCATTTAATAGAAAAAGTTAACAAAATTGACGGCATGACCATTTGTCCTAACGAAACTAAAGTTGAAGGATCACAGGAACAATTTTGGAAATTGAGGGACTCAAATGCAAATTGGGTTAAAATTCAGGGACTAATAAAACGAATAACCCTATTATTAGATGAATAAATTGAACCTATCAACACACCTCCTCAACATGACCCATATTCAAAGAAGTCACAATTAAAATAAACTCAAAGTCCAGTCATGCTCTAGTCAGGCTTTAAGGTTCCACTTGTGCCAAGCTTACAACGCTCCACGTGTCATCTTGTGCTAGTTACAACTGGCCTATAATATGCTGCAAATACGTGCATACCTGATTTGCCAGGCAACCATGAGTTGGAGGGGACGCGAAAAACTTCATCTCGGGGCATAGATTATATCGGCCTTGTTTGCATAGCTCACATCGCTTGCAATTGATGCCGGGCTCTAGTGCCACACGGTCACCAGGCACCAGATGCTTCACCTCACTCCCAACTTCCTCTACGATCCCAGCACACTCATGCCCAATTACCATTGGCTCTTTCACCACAAAATCTGCACATCTCATGTTCTGAAATAGTAACAAACAACAACAATCAAAACAGGCCATTTACCAATTAATTTATAGTATATATTGTTTAACAATTAATAAACATCAAGAATCGAATTTCCTGTGAAGACGTGAGTTAGGTTAGTTGATTAGAACAGTGTGCCCGGCTTTGCTCTATCATGAATATAAAGACCCAAGAAGGAAAAGAAGGGGGAAGGAGGGGGGGACCTTGAAGTGGTGAACATCACTGCCACATATGCCAACAGCCTTGAGTCGAACTAAAACATCACGGGGTCCTAAGAAATACCAAGAAAACAAGGAACACAGGAAGTCAGTTAGGGCAAAAGGATCACAAATAATAATTTGACCGGAAAAGTGAAAGAAGTTGAGTGTTAAAAAAAAACTGTGATCCAGAAAAAGAACAAATTGGTACCGAGATTAGGGAGCTTGAAAGGTTGGATTTTGAGGGTGTTAACACCAAGAAGCCAAGCAGCCATGTTCTCTCGTTCACAACCATCTCTGCTGGCTTCCTCAAAACCATCATCTCCGTCAGGCTTTCCTCCCTTACCCATTCTCTATCTGAGTTTTGTTTTTTTTTTTTTGGTGCTTTGGATTTATGCCAGTCTTTATGAAGCCTGTGTTGAGAGATGTAGGTGGAGAAATGTGATGGCCTGCAACTTCCTTAAAATCTATATGATGACGTGTGGGTCACATCTTTTAATTGCACACCTTATTTTTTTAGAAAAAAAAATTTAGACTAACCACACCTTATTTTTTCAGAAAAAACAAATTTAGACTAAGCACGCCTTATTTTTTTAGAAAAAAAATTTGGACTAAGCACACCTTATTTTTTTAGAAAATAAATTTAGACTAAGAACACCTTACTTTATATATCCATGTCATATTCCATGTCATATTC